GAAAGACTCACAGACAACGTTTGAACAGACTTCTGAAGGACATAAGGCATGAGGCCGTGTAAATTACACTGTGGAAGAGCTCAGGTGACTAAACAGTGTGTACAGTCAGGGTCCCTTAACAGGAGGGATTCATGCAGGGAATGTGTCAAAAGAAATACGTATTGCAATGTGTCCGCAGGTAATTCTGTCATGTGTGAACACTGTGGAACATATTCACACTAACCTAGGGGGCACAACCTGCTACAGGCCCAGGCATGTGCTAGAACCCCCCTGTTCCTGGGCTAGACACCTGAATGGTGCGTTCTTGCATTGAATACTGCAGGCAACTATACCACCATGGTGCGGACTTGTGCACCTAAACACGTCTAAACATTTAAAAACACAGAAAAACGATGGTATAATCTTACAGGACCCCTACTGATATATGCAGTCTGTTACTAACCAAAAAACATTATGGGGTATGTGACAATACACATTTCCTCATGTGGGAACACATGTGGTGTGGGGAGGAGCCAGGTGACCCAGGCAGTAAGAGAGGGCCGAGCAGAGGAGGAGCAGAGAAAGGTCTGGGCCAGTGGATCATGAGGGCTGTGCTCTGAGTGGACGTGACAAACGGATTTCTCCCATGAGTGACAAGCAAGCTGCTCCCTTGACAAATTCTGGAAGAGAATTTCAAATTGACTTTGCTTCATAGGATTTCATATACCTAGGCCATAAAAAACTTAAGAATTTTTTTAAATTAGGTTTTTAATGTTTGGCTTACTAATTCAATGGTAGACAGACTGGGGCTGGGTGTGGTGACTCACATGTAATCCCAGCACTTCAGGAAGCCAGGGCAGAAGGACTGCTGGAGGCCCGAGTTCATGATCAATGGTACAGAGACTGATGAAAATTTTGGTCTTACTGATGCAGGTTAATACAGCCACAGTTAAGTGCAAAGCGTTAAGTGTTCAGGATTGCTACTGTTTCAACTGCAAGTGGCCTAGCAGCATGTAACAATACATCCCAAGAATAAAACTAACAGGTACACAAAACTTGAGAAATATCCTGGGAAATAATACACCAGAAATGCACACATACTAACTGACCATGCTAACCCTTGTTGTTTCTCTTCCATATGAAAGTGAATACGGATCTTATTCAGTATCCCAGCAAAAGTCACAGAACTTACCACAGCTCTACACTACGCAGAACTAACTGCTGCCCCATGATATGCAGGGTGGCCACAAAGATCGTGTGCAATTTGAAATTGCACACTATTTTAAACTGCACGCAAACTTAACGGCCACCCTGTATAATAAGGGCCATTCTAGATTCAAATAATCTTTACATGATGCAAGACAGACATACAGATTTTGCAAAGAAGACATAAGTCACAAAACCATCAAACACTGCAGGCCTCCATAAAAACTAGAGAAGACGACTCATGTGAACATTCTGCAAACACAGTTAAAGGGCAGGGAACGTGGCACAGTGTGCAGGGGCACGGGCACTCG